GTGTGTGTGTGTGTGTGTGTGTGTGTGTGTGTGTGTGTGTGTGTGTGTGTGCGTGCATAAGGGAAAGGGAGAAATAACGTGTGAGAGAAGGAAAGTGCAGAAAAGAGAGCGGGAGAGAGTGTGTGACATAGAAAGAGAGCATGGAAAAGAGCATATCATAGTGTGAAAGTGACACAGAGCGAGTGTGACGGGAGAGAAAGGAGTGTACGGACTGAAGTGAAAGTCTGTGCACAAAATACAATCTGAGTACTTGAAAGAGCATGTTTAGACATTCTGTCTAGGAGTCTTTTTTTTCCTAAAAATGTCTCTATCTTGTATGTTTAATACACAGTGCTTCCATGCAGTCAGTCTTGCTTTGTCTCAGATACCCAAACCATACGCTTCAGAGCACGATTTGTGCCGTCATTAGAGCCTGGAAGTGCAAAAAGCTCAAATTACACTTTCAGTTTAACTGAGAATAAGCTGGTTTGAATGGCTCTGGTCCAAAATGATATTAAGTCAGGTCTTGAGGGGGAAAAGCTTAACATTTGCGTAAATGTGCTTTTTTACTTTCCTGCCAAGATTGAGAGTCACAGTGAGGTCAGATAATTTACTGTAAAGCTGCAAGTTGTCAGTTTTACTCTTTGGTTTTTCATCAGATAAAACAGGATATAACATGACAATTAGAGAGCTTTAGGGGAGCTTTGACAGATGCTAGCTGTCGCTTATTCTACAGTCATATTTAGTATCAGTTTTACTCTCAGCATTTGACAGATTTCCCAGTGTGTTCCTTTCAGTTTCATCATGCCTTGTGTCTTATTTGCAGATTATAGGTTTTTTTAATTCTGGTGAACAGATTTTTTTTATTTATATCTATATGTTTTTATTCAAACACATTCAAAATGTGTTGTATTTCAAGCTGAAATAACAAAATCCCTTTCACTTGCTTCATTTCTTTTATTTATTATTTGTAAAAAAAAAAATGCTGAGTAGAACTTGTGTGCACCGCCTGCATCCTTTTCAAAATATTGGCTTTAGTTTAGGTTTAGTATCCAGTTTGTCTTAGCGTTAGTATGCGATTTGGGTTGAATGAAAGAAATATGGTTATCAGCATGTATTTTTCTTTCTTTTTTCCTGTAAATGGTTGCGACCTGTACATTTTGACATTTTAATTTCGTAAGTGAACATTACTCTAAACAGACCCTGAAGAAAATTTTCCTCTCGTGAAAATTGAAATAGATCTTTCACTAAAAATCTATAATCTGTGGCTTGTTGCCAGATCCACACTCTAGCTCCGTGGCCCACATCATCATTCAGGACCAAGAGACTCCATGAAAACCTTCTTGCCTTAGAACAAGAAATAAAATGTCAGAATATGTAGATAATGCCCTTGTTTTCATTTCAGTTTAACTTCATTAATAGAGTGTCGTTTATAATGTTATAAAATTACAATTGTTTTAGGGAACTATGAATAATTTTACTAAGATTGTGTTAGAGCTCTCTCAGCTCAGTTTTCGTTTTTGTCATCAGGTGACGTTCACCAAGAGGAAGTTTGGTTTGATGAAGAAGGCCTACGAGCTGAGCGTCCTGTGCGACTGCGAGATCGCTCTCATCATCTTTAACCACTCCAACAAGCTGTTCCAGTATGCCAGCACTGACATGGACAAGGTCTTGCTGAAGTACACCGAGTACAACGAGCCACACGAGAGCCGGACTAACGCTGACATTATCGAGGTAAAGCGTGGAGACGGGAGGGAGGGCAGTGGGTCAAACAGCAGGAAACAACTGCGTCTTTAACACCTCAAAATCTTTTTAACATCCTTAAAAGGTCCACTTTCCATTTGATTACCTTTATTTTAATTAATTAATACATTTATTTATTTTAGCAGATGCTAGGCTTAAAGTAATCTTGACCTAGATACACTTCCTGAACAAACTGTGTTGCCTTCTGTTGCAATAAGGCTTTGAGTATCATAGTTTATTGTACATCAAGTCATTAAAAGGGGAAGCTGGACATTTTCAGATGTGTATTGATTAACTTTCTTCCCAAGAATAAGATTAGAGATTGATATCACTGTCATGCCTGTTTACTTGTAGGCAGGTTAGAGGCAGAGGGTGATTAAGGTAGCTTAGCTTAAAAAAAAATCAGCTGATGTGATATATTACATCATGTTTAATCTATAAAGAAGCCAAAGTCACACTAACCTTCAGTGTTTGTAGTAATCTAACCTTCTTCTAAATTGTTATGCATTATAAATTAGGCTTTAAGAAACTGAAGTGGCTAAACACTGCATTTTTAGAGGTGTCATTACATTTTTTTTTAAACTTTTTATAACCCACTGTTCTTTCCTTAAATCCCTTGTTACTGAAAAGTAACCATATATTTTCGTATTTCTTTACTATTGCCCAGTTCAGAATTGTGGAGTCCAGTCAGTCCCAGTGCTGTTTATGGTTGGATTCTGGCTCGGTGCCTTTGAGCTTAATGGGAGTAGAGAGATAGGAACAGCTGGGCCTCCCCATCTTATCCCCCACCCCCCTTAACACTCTGGCTTTGGTCGTATTGTTACCTGGAGACCTCTCTGACAACAACAACAAAACACCAACAAGCCAAAGGACAACGCCTAGAACCAGATGGAAACCACTTCAGCATAAAATGCCCACCAGTTAGAGGAAGAAACTTCTGAGAAAAATAATCTTTGTTCATTTACATATTTACTAGAAGAGAGGTCAACGGGTTAGGTCAGCAGAGAAAGTGTGAGGGCAGTCCGTCAGTTCCATTTTTATGTTTTTGTAATAGGAATCCATTTGCTTCCTAACGTCTTTCCTCCCTGTGGGAAAAGGCTTCGCTGGAGCTTGTCAGGCGAACATGGAACATATTCACATGCCTTGCTGACCCTTTTATACATAAGGACCCTCTTATGAATTCAACACGAGATGGTTAGGTATGATTCAGCGAGCCGTGTGCACTGCAGTACAGCACTTACGCTTCATATGGAGCGTTGACTTAAAGCTGGATCTCGCCTGGCTTTGAGGTTTTTTTTTCTCACTGAATATTGCTGCAGGAGTTCACGATCAGTCAACCACAAACATTGTCAACATGCAGTCACCGCCATGGCTTTACTGTCATGTTGAATGCTCGGGCTAAATCGTATTTCAAACAACGCACAGCAAAACAGCAAGGTTTGAAAAAATGAGATGGCTAGCTCATGAATGGATTTAGGCCATTATTAGTTGGGCACTAGCATTACCTGATCTGTGTCAGCAGCAATTTCCCAATCTGAATTTTTTGTCAAATTGCCCTTATGATTTTGGAATAAAACCTTGTGTTGGCAATGGCCTGAGAACAACAACATAATAGAGTGGGAGTGATTCCCTCTTTTATCAGCTGCTTCTAAATTGCAGAACGTAGTCCTATAAAATTGAGATTGATGCTACAGCAATAAATATTATTCGAACCCTTTGTTCTCCACTAGTTTTTGATTCACTACATTTATGAAGTAAGCGATACCAACCTGTGTCCCTGGAGTGATGAACTTTGACAGCAAATGATGAGTTTTATTTCCCTTTTTCAGGCTATTTCAAATACGTTATTGGAAGAAACCCACAGGCTGCAAACATTGTTTGATTCGATTTATGAAGCGCTCAGAAGCTCATCTGACCTCTAACTGCTGCTTTAAGGCGTAATTCTTTTTCAAGTTCTCTCAAACTGTCCACAAACACCTAAATCAATGGCTAGCTACAGTTATGTGCTAAAGGTGTTTTTGAATGGAGAGCGCTATTTTCCATTGTAGGAACCTACCTGAAGGACTCATTGATTGAATTCAGGTCCTGGATCACAAAAGTCCCAGCTCTGGGTTTGCATCTGAGTATTCTCTGGCTGTGAGATTAAATCCTCTTTCCAACAGTTTTCCTGAGGAATTTCTGATTATAAAAAGCTTTTCAGACCAGAACTGTTGGGAAACCATTTTCCTTGAATACAAGAGAGAGTCCTACTTGAAGCTTGAATTACTTCATATATAGCAGAAAGTAAATTCCACATTCAACTCGATCTGATTTCCATCTGTTTTTCTGTTGATGGGATTATTTGGTTCTCATCAGAAATGGCCAAAGTAGCACTCTAAAATCACACATGGACGAAAAGGAATTTGCCAGCCTAGCTACATTAAGCCTAAAGAAAATGCAATGAATAACAGATTTATCTAATTTATTTCACAAAGGGGACTTTGTCTGAACATACTCCTAAACTTCCTGAGTTTTGGGATTTGTCATTATTGGTTATTATTTGGTTGTGTAGAGGCATGAAATCTTTGGGGCCTGAGCAGAATGCTCCTAAGGGGAATTTCATCCAATAAGGGCTTGCATTCAGTAATTGCTGAAATCTCAGTGAAAGTGTTGGTGAAGCAGTTTTGTGTTTGAGTGGGCTGAAGGTAAGACTGAGAGTTTGAGGCCATAATTTTCCCTTCACCTTTCCGTCTGTCAGTTTCTCTCTTCCTTCTACCCTTCCTGGCTTCGCTTCCTCGTAATCTCCTGATTCACTCGGTCACGACAGTTTTTCCCTTCTTTCTTGTCCTTCTCTTTCTGTCTGTCTCAGAGTGTCAGCAGTAAAGCCTTTCTGTAGGCTGTATCTTCAGCTGCAGATGGCTCTTAAGTGTGTGTGTGTGTGTGTGTGTGTGTGTGTGTGTGTGTGTGTGTGTGTGTGTGTGTGTGTCGTGGCTGGGCGTTGGGCTGCTCCGGGCCACATCAGCTCAAGCTCCACTGGCTCTGTTTGTGTGCGTACATGTGTTTGTGTTTTCGAGTGTGCCACTCTGT